GACATACACATACATGTGGCCAACAAGCATATGAAAAAATACTGAATATCACTTATCATTATAAAAATGCAACTCAAAATCATAATGAGATACCATCTCACGTAAGTCAGAATGGCCATTCATGAAAAGTCAAAAAATAATAGATGCTGGTGAAATTGTGGAGAAAAGGGAATGCTTGTACACTGCTGGTGGGAGTGTAAATTAGTTCAGTCATTGTGGAAAGCAGTGTGGTGATTCCTCAAAGAACATAAAATGAAATTACCATTTGACCCAGCAATCCCATTATTGAATATATACCCAAAGGAATATAAATCATTCTGCCATAAAGACACATGCATGTGAATGTTCATTGCAACACTGTTCACAATAGCAAAGACACGGAATCAACCTAAATGCCCAACAGTGGTAGACTAAATAAAGAAAATGTGGTACATATACACCATGGCATACTGGAATACTATGCAACTATAAAAAAGAACAACATCATGTCTTTTGCAGCAACCTGAAGCTGGAGGCCATTATCCTAAGCAAACTAAGGCAGGAACAGAAAACCAAATTCTGCGTGTTCTCACTTATAAGTGGGAGCTAAATAATGAGAACACGTGGATACTAGGAAAGGAACAACAGACACTGGGGCCGATTTGAGGATGAAGGGTGGAAGGAGGGAGAAGATCAGAAAGAATACCTATTAGGTACTATGCTTATTACCTGGGTGATGAAATCATCTGTACAACAAACCTCTGTGACACACAACTTACCTATATAACAAACCTTCACATGTACCCCTGAACCTAAAATAAAAATTAAAAATATTTTAAAAATAAAAATGCTAGTGATTCTTAACCTTAAAAAAAACTTAGAAAATTTAGTGATGAGGAGACTCTAATTCAGCATCAACCAGTGACTATCTTTGCATCCAAATCTACCCTCCCTGCCTATAGTTAACAATATGATATTGTGCACTTAAACATTTGTAAAGAGTATAGATGTCATATTAAATGTTCTTTTTAAAAAAATCTTAAAGGGACCCAAAGAAACTTTGGGACATGATGGACATGTTTATTACCTTGACTGTGGTGACAGTGTCACAAGATGCATATGTCCAAACTCATCAAATTACATAAATTAAGCATGTGCAGGGGTGTTTTGTAAAGCAATTACACCTCAATAAAGCTATTTTTAAAAAGAAAAAACTTTTCCACCCCCACTGAGGCACCTCAGGGAAACGGTCTTTCCAAGATCCACCTAAACCTAGGTAAGACTGAGAACATCGAGACTAGGGTATGATGGGAACCTCTGCCATAAATCTTCTTGACTTCATGAGGAAAATAGTATTGGCCAAGTTGTTGAGAGCTATCTTTGTCTTTCCTCTCCTATTCTCCTATCCCAGGGTCTCAGGGACCCACACTGCCATGAAAAGTGTGTCAGGCTGTTCTTGCATTACTATAAAGAAATACCTGAGACTGGGTAATTTATAAACAGAAGAGATTTAATTGGCTCACAGTTCTGCAGGCTGTACAAGCATGGCACCAGCATCTTCTGGACTTCTGGGGAGGCCTCAGGGGACTTACAGATGGGGAGCTGGCATACCATATGGTGAGAGTGGGAGTGAGAGAGAGAGAGTGGGAAGTTCTCACACTTTTAAACAACCAGATCTCATGAGAACTAGCTCGTCACAAAGGGGTTGGTGCTAAGACTTTCATGAGGGATCTGCACCCATGATCCAAACACCTTCCACCAGGCCTTACCTCCAGCACCAGGGATTACATTTCAACATAAATTTGGCAGGGACACAGATTCAAACCATATCAAAAGAGATCCTAGATGTAACATCCTCGACCAATCAGAGCTCAGACTTCTCACTGGAAACTCAGCAAATACAGACCGTTCCCCCTTTGCACAGTTTCAATGTGAATGAATTTCACTTACATGATTTTGCTAAGTAACATCAGTCTTCCAACAACACAATTCAGATTTCAGTTGCTACAGTGTTCTACCTGTGAATAACTTCCCAAAGTACAAATTTATCCACTAGCTATTCAGTAAATAATGGAAATGTATCACAATCAGTGGTCAGTCATGTCACTTCTTTCAATGCCTGTCAACCACTGGTTCATTTGCATCTGTTGTTCAGGTCAGGCATAGACAGCAAAGTGTGTAGGTATGTTGCCTCCCTATCTCCCAATTACAAACCCATGTGAGATTTCACAAAAATGGACAGTTGAAGGAGGGAATTGGCCAGCAAAGACAGAAATGCAGAAAAGCAGAAAAATATGATAATACTAGAACTAAAATCTGAATAGAACAAAAATGGAGTTATGAAAAAGATAGCTGGTGATGAAAATGTTGACATTCACCATTAGAAAGGCTTTACAGATAATGCAGCCAGAGGAACTTGGTGAAGACCAGACTCTCAGAGATATTTCATGACATCAAAAGAACAAAAGATAAAATGAAGACAGCTGATCTAAGATGAAGTAGGCTCTACACATACACATTTACTCAGTAAACATTTAATTTAGTAACTACTTGTGCCATATCTGGGGTAAACTCTGGAACTGCAAAGATTAAAGAGACATATCTATGCCCTCAAGGATCTCCCAGGCTAGTACGACAGGCGGACTAGGAAACAACTGCCAATAGTAAGATAAGAGACCCACTGACTAGGCAAAGGATTTTGTGGTTAATTTGGAGATTCTATTTTTTAAACTTTTTGGAGTTTAATCAGCTTGCATTTATCAACAAATTGGCAACTGGTGTATTTTTATATTTTTAACCAACAAGTCATGTATCAGTCAGGAAAGATAAGACTATGCTGCAATAACAAATGGCCCCAAATTCCAGGGTCTTAAAGCAACAACAGTTGATTCTTGCTCATGCCACAGGTCAGTCACAGATTGGCTGCTGGTCCACATAATCTTCCCTCTGGAACCCAAAATCTTTCCCAAATATCACCAACTGTAGTGGCTAGTAGCAGTGGTGAGAAAAGCATGGTGAGCCATGCATGGCTCGTGAAGCCTACTTCCAGAAGTAATCACATCACTTCTGCACTTATTTCACTGTGCAAGGTCAATGTATAATCTTTTCCCAAGGAGGAGCAGCAAACACAACAGTCTACCCCAGGTTCAAATTCACTAAAACACTTTGCTTGCAAAAATTTGTTAGTAGAATAAAAGATTTCAAAACTTTTTTGCTTTTAAAAAATTCTGCCAAGCCCAAAGCTGGTTTTTTTTTTTATGTCTTTTGAAATATTTTACTTTCTAATTTCATAATAAAAGCCTATCTTTTATATCAGAGAGATAGGAAATTTGGGGAGGGGGGAATAAATACACTTTGGAATGGCATCCATTTCAAATTGAAAAAAAAAGTTAACAAATTTAAAATATTTGTTATGTGAAAGAAAAAATATGCAACTCATTTTTAAGGATCACACTTGGCAATTATCTTGCACAAGATAAGCAGAAAATTTCTGTGTGGTATTAGGGCTTTCCACATGATTCCTCCTCTTGTAAGGATTCCATTTTGTGATATTCTTTTCATAAAATCAGGACATTTAAAATCACTCTTCATATTTTTATAAAGAATTCTAAAGATTTAATTTTAAAGACCTCTCTTTATAAAATTTAACACATTGATAATATCTTGTAGCTTGCTTACAGCAAATATAAAGAGTTTCATATACAGTTTTATTTCTAGAACCACACCCCAGAATTCTTTGTATATTCTAGTCTAAACAAATACTGTGTCTGTACCTGCACATTTTTCCATAAAAATATTGTTTTGACTTTAGAAATAATACAGTGTTGAAAAATACATACTCTCCAGTACAACTTTCTTTTAGGGTTTCATGGAAAAATAACAGTTAAGTATAATTCAAAGCTGAAACAGAATCGAAGCCTCTAGCAAGCATCCTAATTGAGACATATTAGATTCATCAGTGCTGTTACCCAACCATACAGCAAACAGCCCACATGAGAAATTCGTTCCAGCAATATTTGCTTTGATTCTTTAACAATGTTTTCTCTGCGTCATTAAACTGTATTTGCTGACAAATAAGTTTATTTTAGCATGCTATTATTTTTCACAGACTATTTCAGTCATTTTTCTGTGACCAACAGGGTGTGGCTTTTTTGTTTTCACAAAGAAGCATCAAATCTCAAAAGAGGTTTCTCCCAGGAAGTTGGTCACATTCTCTTTCCTGATCTGGGTCTTGTCTGCTTGGATGCATTTGGTTTGTGAATAATTAAGGAGGTCTATACTTATGTGCTTGTTTCCATATGTGTATTACATTTTAATAAAAATGCTTAAAGAGATATTTAATGTGTTATTAAAATTGATACAATTTTCTAACATACCAAATTGAATAACACATGATTTTAGACACTACTGAAAAAAACTTACAGATGTTGAGCTTAGTTCTAATTTTTCTTTTTGTTTTGTTTTTTTGGAGACGGCGTCTAGCTCTGTTGCCCAGGCTGGAGTGCGGTGATATGATCTCAGCTCACTGCAAACTCCACTTCCCAGGTTCAAGCAATTCTTCTGCCCCAGCCTCCCAAGTAGCTGGGATTACAGGCATGCACCAGCATGCCCGGCTAATTTTTGTATTTTTAGTAGAGACAGGGTTTCACCGTATTGGCCAGGCTGGTCTCGAACACCTGACCTCCAGTGATCTGCCCGCCTGGGCCTCCCAAAGTGCTGTGTTTACAGGCTTGAGCCACCATGCCCAGTCAAGCTTAGTTCTTAAATAGCTGGCTAATTGTGATGGTTCCACACTACTATAACTAATATTTCATACAACCACATTTGCTAAAGAGTGAATCTTTTAGAATTGTGTTCAGCCACAAGGGACACAAAACCTGACCAAACAATCGCTTAAACAAATTAGGGGGTTGTGCTTTCTCACCTAACAGAAAGACAACAGTTCCAATATTCCAGTATTGTTTCAGCAGCTTGAAGATGTCACAGATGAGTCTTTATCACTGTCTTGTCCTTTCTCTCAGGAGCACAACACAACTGCCACACCGCCTGTCATCACATCTACATTCCAGAAGGGGAGAAGGAGGAAGCCAGGAGGAGGAAGGGCATTGCCTACGTGAGAAAAAAGAAAGAAAAAGCTTTTTCAAAAATCCTTAAGAGATGTCCTATTATTTCTCTTTAGCCATATTTGTTACATGATCACCCTTAGTAGCAAGGGAAGTTGGGAAATGTCGCTTTTTTGCTGGGCACATGGCTACCCCATATAAAACCAGAGTTCTGTTAAAAAAAAAAAAAAAAAAAAAAGGCGGGACTGTCCATTGGAGAGGCAACAAGCAGTGTCTCCCAGTCAAAACCTGGCGGAGTTACTGATCATAGCTATAAATATGATTTCTCAGTTGCCTTTGCGGTCTCTAGTACGCTTTAGCTGACTCCTTGTCAGATATGGCTTGGCCATCAGAACTGATGTGGCTGATGAGGGCCCGGAACCAGGGGTGGGAGCCCACACAGGAAGCGCATGCTAGCCTTTGTGCAGACGGCAGAAGACATCCACCCAGGTGATGGAGGAATCTCTTTACATGGGTTGTCCATTGTGAGGGTTAGTTTAGTTAACCCCTAGTAATAGATTCTATGTATTTGGTAAATACACTTACTCGGCACATAGAGACTGCAATGAGAGCCAATAGTTGGAAGTTGAACTAAGGACTGAGGACAACCCTGCTTCCCACCCCCACTGCCAACCACAGGGCTCTCACTCTCCCATCAGCATACCTCAGATCCTGCACATGACAGGTGCCTGAGTGACCTGTGAACCAAGTGAGGGACCCAGACTCAACCCATTTATTACATATTAGTAGAGATTAATGTCTCTCTTTTTTATTCGGATAGTAAAAGTTAAACAAAGTTCTAATATTTTCTTCCTATCCCGCAATGGATCATCTTGCATGCTTTGCTTTAGAGACCCTGAGGCTCCCACATAGGCAGGTCCCTGCCTTCATGAAGGTTACATGCTAGTAGCGAAGACAGCAAATGAGCAAACAGGTAAATGGACACGTGATTTTGTGTGACGATCATTGCTTTGAAGGCACTAAATGGGACAATGTGATATGGGGTGACTCTGGGCAGAGAATGGGCAAAGCTCCTTCCATAGGGTGTCATGGAGAGTCCCTGAGGAGGTCACACTGGAGCAGAGACTTGTGTGACAAGGAGGACCAGCCTGGAAGAGTTCCCCTTGAAGGAGAAATAGGATGTGCAAAGGCCATGGGGTAGACTGAGTTTAGCACGTGGGAACAGAAAGAAAGTGGGGTTTCTGGAGTGGGGGCTGGAGTGGAGTAAGTGAAGGGGACGGTGGTAGAAAGTGAAACAGGAAAGTATTTAGAGGCTGACCATTCCATGGATCCTGGACAGTATTAAGAACTCTGGACATCATCTTAATCAGAACAGGAAGCCATTAGACATTGGAGTGCATAGAGTGGCACAGCCTACTCCTTCCCAAATGTTGGCCACAAAGTCTGTGAGTTCCTTCAGAGTGAGCGCTATGTCTGGCATGGTGTTCCCAGAGCACTGCATGCGGCTGGCACACAGAAGCACTTAACGAGGGCCGAATGGATGCATGGTTGACCGGCCTTCAGGTATCTCACAAAGCACCTCAGCTTGTCCCTGTACTATCTTTTGTCTATGTATATGCCATCTGTTCCTTAGATGGGTTTCAGGACACAATCCCAGAGAGCCCTTATCATCCCTGTCTATATTCTCCAGCCACATTCCCATTGTCTCTGCCTGCAGGAGGGAGTACTTATTTTGGGACTCTGCTCCAGGCAGGGTCAGAAGCAGGTAGAGGATAGAGGACTTCCATCACCCTTATTCTAGATTCTGTTTGCTTTCAATGCAACTTATAGGTATGACACAAGCAGAGGAGCATCAATTGAGCACCTACTATGGGCCAGGCAGATTATTGTGGATTACGTAGATTATTGCAGATTTTGTAGATTATTGCATTTACCACAGCCCTGTGGGGTAGGTGTCCCCACATATAAGTGAGAAATCTGAGGCTCAGAGATCTGAGTGACTTGAACTGTCACTGGCTGTTTAGAAACAGAGCTGAGATTCTGACCTTGTTCTGTAGCCTCTGAAGACCACACCCTTTCTAGAGATACTGGTTGGCTTCAGAGGTCTCTGTTCAAATGCCTCCTTCCCAGAGGGGACCTGCCATGCTCTGCTCCCCTCTCTGGGCAGCCACTCTCTGGCTCACTTTGGCTACGTCCTGTCACTCCCTTTTTCACCTTCTGCTTCTGTTTTCCCACCTGCCATTATCCCAGCAAATGGCAGCAACCTGGCCCCATGACATGTAGGTGGAGAGAGCAGGGGGGAGTAAGCCATCTCAGCCTCACGCAACTGTGATCCCATCCTGCCTTACTTAGCGTTGCACCACCACAGACCTTGCTGGTCCTCAGTTCCCCCGAATATTTGGAATTGGCTAGTTATTCTTCTCCATTTTGGGGTGAGCAACCCCTTGAGGAATGTAGTGAGAGCTAAGAGTTGTCTCTTCAGATCAAGACACAATGAAAGGAATCCCAGGTGGGGCAGCTGCTGATGGAGCTTCCTCTGGCTCAGGAGCAGGAGGCAGGGGCACAGACCAGACAGGGGAGCACAGAGGAAAACTCCAAAAACCCACAACTCTTGTTGCAACATCATTTCTAGAAAAGTCAACCCAACCAAGGCTGTCATTACCTAGTAAAAATATGAGACAATAAAATGAGAGAAACGTGGGGCTATGGCTAAAAGTTCCAAAGGTTTCTCAACCTCACAGCCTCTGAGGGTTGAAGAAACAAAGACAAAAACAAACCAGCAACAAAACACTCACAATTATGCTTCTCATAGGGAGATGTGATTGATGCAGGACAGGCAGCCCCCAGATTGGGGCTTAGCCTAGGAAGGTTGTTGACTGCACCCAGGAGAGAATTCAAGGGTGAGCCAGTGGTGTTAGCAATATTTTATTGAGTGGGACTCCTTCTTGTGATCAGGGCTAACTCATTGCAGTGTACCCAGAGTCAGCAACCCATGGGTTGTTGGCAACTCTCTTTGTAGTCAGGTGTACCAACTTCAATTACATGCAAATTAAGGGGCAGGTTAATGCAAATTGAGAGGTGGGTTATTTAGAACTCTCTAGGAAAGGGGCAGTAATTTCCAGGTTGTCACCATGGAAAGGGGTGGTAACTTCTGGGTTACTGACACGTCATTTGTAACCTATCATGGCGCTGGTGGGAGTATCTTATGCTGATAAGCAGTGAGGGCAACTAGAGGTTGCCTTCAGCACCACCTGCTGGTTCCTGCTGATTTTTTCACTTCATCCATCAGAGACTGGGAAATATTATCAGGTTGGTGTAAAAGTAGTTGCAGTTTTAACAATAAGTCCTGTGGGGCTCCTACCTCATGATGACATCGTTCAGTTGCTGCCCAGTTCATAAATGGGTCCTGACAGGTATGTGGCTCTTTGAAGCTCATGAAACATGTCTCCTTCCTTACCTCAGAAAATCTGGCCAACAGTGCTGCAAGAGAATTATTACTCCTATTTCACAGATAAGCAACCTGAGACTAGCCTGGGACTTGGTCAGGCTGAGCAGTAGCAGAGATGGAAGTCAGGATATAATGGGGTGTGAGGCTTTCAATGCCACAGACTGAGTGGTGAGCAACAATGTAACTGGATGCACCAAACTGAGCAACTATCAGCACCTCCTCAAAGGCAGAGTTCATTGGAAAAGTAATTCTGGCCAGCAAAGGGGCCTCCATCTTGTTACAATGTAAGCATTCCTTTCATGCTTCTATGAATAAATACCCAAGACTGGGTAATTTATAAAGGAAGGAGGCTTAATTGACTTACAGATCCACATGGCTGAGGAGGCCTCAGGAAACTTACAATCATGGCGAAGGGCACCTCTTCACAGAGCAGCAGGAGAGAGAAGTGCTGAGTGAAGTGGGGAAAAACCCCTTAGAAAACCATCAGATCTCGTGAGAACTCACTATCACGAGGACAGCATGGGGGGACCGCCACCATGATCTAATCACCTCCCATGAGTTCCCTTCCCCAACACATGGAGATTACAATTTGGATTACAATTCAAGATGAGATTTGGGTGGGGTCACATAACCAGACCATACCACTGCCCCAAAAGATTAAACACTGAAACATCTCTGTAACCAATCTTTATGACCCATTTTCCACTGTTTGTTATGACCCTCTAAATGCATCTTGATGTTTATTTGTTTTACAGTGAATCAGTTCAGAGGACTTATGATTTATAAGGAAAATCCTCTCTAACCCAACCTTTTCCTCCCAGTATTTTGATCCTCTATTCTAGGACCAGCAAACAGGCTGAATTTCCCATCCTCTTATTCTGCTCCAGTAGCAGACATTAGTAGTCAATCCTAGAATTCTGTGCTACTGAGCTCAGTGCTCCAGGCAACCATTAGAAGAGCTTTTCAGGAGGTGGTGCTGAGATGCACCTACAGCCATCATCCACCTGCAGTGTGGAGAAGTCAATTGAGCTGACTTCCTGAGCACTACTGGGGAGTGCACTGGGGAGAGACACTGAAACCAGGCCCTCTGCCATCAAGCAGCCTGCAGCCTAGAGCCAATGAGAGTATGGAAGGCAAGAAATGTGTCAGGAAGCTATGAAAGTGAACCCGCAGAGGAGGGTCAGCCCGGGGTAGGACCATGAGGGCAGAGGCAAAGTAAAGATGAAAGGAACCAGAAATATCCCAGTGGAAGGTGGCAGGCCTGGGCAGATGCATTTCTTTCAGTTAATTTGTTTATTTCTTTTTCCCAAAGCAGTAAAGGAGACACCACCCCTGGGAAATAAAAGGGAGCATGAGTCAGCAATGGTGGAGCTGGTGGCAGTGGGGAAGAGTTGTGGAGAAGAGAGCGATACTGTCATGCACTGCACTTTATTTCATTCCATCGTTGCTATAGTCACTTCCCTTCCCTTACCTTGGGAAGTGGATGCTAGGACCCAGAGGACTTGGAAAGAGTGGAAACCAGCTCAGATTCCACTCCCATGTCACCTATCAGCTGTGTGTCCTGGGCCACCTTACCTCACCCAAGTCTCAGTTTTTTCATCTACAAAACGAATCATCTGCTTTAACCTTCAAAGGAAGTTATGCAGTTTGACAGGAAAAGGTATGGACAATGCCCAGTAGAATATCAGGCACTGTGTTTGAGACCCCCCATTTGTTGAAATTAGAGATGCCCAAAATGTT